ATTATAAAATATAATAACTTTAATATTAAATTTTAGTAAATTATATAATTATTACCTTAAACCTTAAGATTTAATTAAATAAGTAGCCTTAATCTATAAGTATAAAGAAGATATTTTTCATATATTTAAAAGGCTAAATACCTTTTTTATTATTACCTTATTAAGGGAATTACTACTAAGGCTTTAATACTAAAAGGCTATATTAAAATAAGTTAAAAACTATATCTTTTATTATAAGATATATTAATATATAATTATTATTAATATTAATTAACCTAGCTATAGCTATTTAATCTTAGTTATTAATAATTATATAATTAATCCTTTAATAAATATTAATAGGCTTAAGTTTAAGTATATTTTTATTTTATATTTCTTCTTATAGTATTATAAAATTATAAGAAAATACCTATTATATATTAATAAATTATTATTAATATAATAAGTTAATTTAATAATCTTTCATTACTAAATATAACTTCTTAGTATTAAGAAAAATATATTATTATAAGCTAGATAAATATATTAAAAGACCTAGCTAATTACTTAAAAGAAAATTAAGATATATTAAGGTAATAATAGGCCTTTATTAATAAAATTATATTAGGCAGTAGTAATAATCTATATTAGGTATAATTTATAAAGTTAAAATATATAATCTAGTTAATTAAATTAATAATATAAATATTATATTATAGGAATTAAGGGCTATTATAAAGTAAAAGAGGAGAAGTAAGAGGGAAAAAAGGAAGAAAAAGGCAAATTAAGAAAAAAGGGTTTTAATATTTAAGAAAAAACTATAAATATTAGCAGATTAAGGCTAACTTAGTAGGTTAATAATAGACTAAATTAGGTTATAAGATAATATAATAGGAGAAATATAAGTTAAAGATAAATATAATTAAATAATACTTAGGATTTATATAATATATTAACCTTAATATTAATAGTTTTAGGTCTTAATTTATTAAGGCCTAGAGGTATAATATATTATAAGTCTTTTTTATTTTTCTTTTTTTCTTTTTAGCTTTAATAGCTTTCTTTTTAATTATTATTAGTATTATATATTATTTAATCTCTTAGCTTATACTTTTAAAGACCTTCTTATTTTATTTTATATCCTTTTATATAATTAGCTTAATAACCTAATTTATAAATTCTTAGCTTATTATCTTAATAGTTAATAAGATATTATTATCTTTTAAGCCTATAATATTTTAAACTTTTAATTTAATAAAAGAATTAATATTTAATTTAAATTAATTAATTCTTTAGTTTTTATATTTATTAGCTCTTATTTAATTAATTTAACTACTAAGATAATAAACTTTATATTTCTTAATTAGTAAATTAAAAGTATTAAATTATTTTATAAGAAGTAATTAAATATAACTTAGGTAGATTTAATAAAAGTATATTAAGAATAAGAGGGATTAATATTATAGCTTTTAGGGCTATAAAAAGGGATTATAATATCTAAGTATTTCTTAAATATATCTTAGTTTTTATTTAATTAATTAATTTAAGCTTATTTACTATAAAGGATATTATAATTACTTTTATATTAATAATCCTTAGCTTATAATCCCTTATAATTCTTTCTAAGATAATATTTCCTTTAAATTTTATATTTATTATAGCTTTTATTATCTTATTATTTAGGTTATAAAATTTAATCCTAATTATTATTTAACTATATTTATTCTTAACTTATATTTCTCCTATTATATTATTTTATAATTTAATCTAATTTATTATTAGATTACTAAGCTAGCCTTAGTCTATTAATATTTATAGTTTTTCCTTAAATACTAAAACCTTTTTTTTTTAATTTGCCTTTTTCCTTCTTTTTTTCTTCTTATTTTTCCTCTTTTACTTTATAATAGCCCTTAATTCTTATAATAGAATATTTATATTATTAATTTAATTAACTTAATTATATATTTTAACTCTATAAATTATATCTAATATAAGCTATTACTATTACCTAATATAATACTATTAATAAAGGCCTATTATTACCTTAATATACCTTAATCCTATTTTAAGTAATTAGCTAGGTCTTTTAATACCTTTATCTGGCTTATAATATATTTAATAAGAGGTATATTTTCCTTAATATTAAGGAGCTATATTTAATAACTAAAGATTATTAGATTAACTTATTATATTAATAGTAATTTATTAATATATAATAGGTATTTTCTTATAATTTTATAATATTATAAGAAGGAATATAAAATAAGGATATACTTAAACTT